ATGGAAGTCTGTGGAGGTGAGGGCCTTCTGGCTGTGGCAACGTGTGAGCTACTCGGGGCTCTGTTTGCGGAGGGCTCCTCTGGATGTGTAACGTATCCAGCGCGCGGGGGGCAGAAGGGGGCACCATCTGGGGCATTGACTCGCCCTCTCCATCAAGAGGAAAAACCTCCCACACTGACGTAAGTGATAACCACCGCGTCAGATGGCTGAGCCTCAACGACTGAGAGGCTCCTGTAGAAGCCTGCTAGATGGGGTCCGAGTAGGTGGCATCGGAGGATTGCGCCGCATCGCCGATGCATCGCCGATGCGGCTCGATGCGGAGCCCGATTTGATTCACGTCGACGTCGCCGATGCATCGCAGACCTCGACGATGCCTCGCCACTGCATCGCCGATGCATCGGCGACGTTGAGCATCCTCCGGCCCCGCCTACTCCGACCCCATCTGGGCGGTCAGGAGCTTGGCGCACTCCCACAACAAGTGGCCGTCCTGGAGGGCCTGCGCGCTACCAGCGCGCCTGCCTCCGTTGCACGGGCGCCGGCTTCCGGGCACCGGCAGCTGAGAAGCTCTCTCTTCCAGCGCGAGGCAAGTGGGTGGGGGCTCCCATATCCGAGTGGTGGCCACCGGTGTACGATTGTCGAACGGACTGGTCAACCCACAAGGGAGCATGCGCAGTGGGGATGCAAGAGCCTTTGGGCGCCCATGCCGAGGCTCTTCGAGCGGGGCTGGCCATCAAGAGTGGTCGAGGATGGACCGAAGATGATCGAAGAGGAGGGTTCTCCTGAGAAGTCGGTCATCGTTACTATCAGGGTTGACTGTAGACCGTGCGGTGAAGCCGCATGCTGGGGGCATCGCATGGGAGAAGCGGGTCCTGTGGGAAACGGGGCCCTGGGGCGTTCCCCCAGGACCAGCTCTTTATCTCGAGTCGTTTTCCGACGGTCTCGGGGCCCGTGTAGGGCCACGGGATGCCAGAAGGGAAAAGATGGCTCACGGCCTGCTTCGCTCGGGTCCCGCCGTCACCCCCGCGGCGAGGAGTGACGGCGGACAGCAGGGCAGGAGGCTCTGGGGCCGCATCTCCTCCAAGGCCTCCAATACGACCGCATCCCGGACCTCAGCGCCACCCCGCGAGCGGGGGAGGGGGGCGGCACGGCACGCTGCACGGCGCGCTGCCTGTGCCTGGGGGGGCGGCGGGACGAGCGCCAGGCCGGGTGGTGCACTCAGGCCGCGGAGGGGGATCGGAGGCGGGAGGGTCTCCTGTCTTCCCCGGAACAGCACCTCGCCTCTCCAGCGCCGCGTCACCTTCGCCCTCTCTGTGGCTGCGACGCCGAGAGGGATGCGCCCTGGCAAGGGCGTCGGAGCTTCTCTTTGGACCCTTTCGCCGGTGCTTGCCCAGAATGTGGGCGGCTTCGGGGCTCCGTCGGTTCACTGGGTGACTCGCCGTCCGAGGGGCGGCCGCTCCCCCGGCCGCGGGAGGCTGGGGCCAGGGGCCCCCTTCCTGGCCCCAGCGTGTCTCCAAGCGGGGCGGCCGAGGATCTGGCGGAGCCGTCCGCAGCGAGTAGGATTTGGGGAGTCAGCGACCGCTCCATGGGAGGAAGGCGACTGGACTCTGGCACCCTCGGCCCTCTCGCCCGAATTCTCGTGTCCAGGGTCTCCGACAATTGGCGGCGATCGAGGGGGGAAGTGAGAAGGAGAAGACCTTCTCAGGAAGCGGCGGGGCTTACTAGAAGCCCTCGCGCCTTCCGAGAAGCTCGTGTGTTGTCTTCGGGGAAGGCTTCGAAAACTTCTCTCAGAAGGCCGGGGGACTTCCCAGCCATCCGGGAAGGCCTTCCCCCTCTCGCCAGCCGCTGAGACAAGGTGGTTGCACGGGAGGGGGGGGGGAGGGAGGGAACGAGGGAGCGAAAGAGGGAAAGGGGGAGGGAAAGGGGGAAAGAGGGAGGGAGAGGGAACGAAGGGGGGGAGGGAGCGAAGAGGGAGGGAGAGGAGGAGAGGAGCGGGTGGAAATGCGGAGCGCGGAGGGACCCGGGGGTGGGGGAAGAGGCACCCGGGAGGCACACGGGGAGGAGGCGCCCAGACATGCGATGGCCTGAATCTTGTGGTCAGTCCAGCCACGATTGCCCACGAGTCCCGACCCTTTTCTCCCCGTCGCTCGGCCGTCCCTTCCCCGTGTGCTGTTCGGTTTCGTGCGTGTTTTTTTTTTCGCAGGATGATCCAGGGTGCTCCTTATCAGTCACCGCCGAGAAAGAGTGCACACGCCCGAGCGATACCAAGGCATGTCCGGGCGGGGGGGGGGGGGCTTGGATCGCCGCGGTGGTTGCTGGGGGTCTGGCCCAACCCAACTTATATAAGTGGGTTGCAGGTGCCCTGTGCGGCTCAGGATGACGAGGCAACACCGCTAAGCGGGCTCCGCCCACTCAGCCCAGATCTGTGCGCTCTTACTCACTTCTGCGCTGAGCTGAGTTAGGCGAAGGAGCCACTCAGGGCACTTGCAACCCACTTCTGAGCCGAGTTAGGCGGAGTAAGATCCGCTTCAGCATCCGCGCTTCTGACCCCCCCCCCCTTCTAGCAACCACCGCGGCAGTCCAGGAGGGGACGGAAGGGGGATGCGGGAGGCGATTCCCTACATCTCCAGCATCGTCACCCGGTCGGCGGAGCCCAGGGCGCAGAAGTCGGGCAGGGCCGCCGGCCACTGGACCTCGGCGAGGAGGCGCAGGGAGCGCGCGGACTCGCTCGGTCGCTTCCCGCCCTTCGGGCGGGTGGCAATAGGGGGTGAACCGAGTACACCCTGCGAAATGCTTAAGAAATCATGGGTTAAGAAATTCATAGTCTCAGAACTTGAATACAAAAAACCCAGCATTTCCATTAAAATATTAAGATTTGCATTGAAACGTCAAGAATAATCGAGACTCTGGCCGAAAATTCAAGTTTTCTTAAGCATCGCCTAAGGTGCACATGGGGATCGGCGGTGGACAAACCTCCCTTTAGTAGACCTCTCCTTAGTGAAAACGGCCTGGGACCGAAACCGACGGACCTGGACCCGCAAAGATGACGGCCGCGACGCCCTCTCGCGAACCGAAAACGGCCAATTCCTCAATCGACGTGTCAGCGTAGGAGGTCTGTCCACCCCCGAGGGGAGTGAAGGAAAGCGAAGACGAGGGCCCCAAATGGCCCTTTCCTTCACCCCCCCATTGAGGTCACCCCCCAAGGGCCCCAATTACCCACCGCCCGACCCTTCGGTTCACCGTCCCTATACCTCGCGCCTTCGTGATCCCGGTGGTGATGGGTGGGGGCACCACGCGCTGGCCGCGTCTCTGGGGCCGGGCGACAGGGGGGGGATAACAAAGGGGGGGCTTGAGACTCAACTCACGCAACTGATTTCCCCGGCGCCTCCCGGCGCCGGGAGGCGGCTATGCATCGAGGAGTGGGCCCGGCGGCGGGGCCGAAACCAGCTGCGTGCAGCCGATTTCGTAACCCCCCCTTTCCCTATCCCCCCCTTTCGTTCGGCCCGAAAGATGGATCCGTCTGCGGCATGGAAGGGCGGGAGGCGGCGGAGTTACTGCACGCACCGTGCCGCTGCACTTGCTCGCCCACTCGTCCAGTCGGCTGCGCGCCCAGGGGAGCAGGCAGAGGGGGCGGGCCTTCTCTCGGCGGCGAGCGAGGGGGGGAAGTGAGAAGGAGAAGGCCTTCTCAGAGAACCGCGGGGCTTCTCAAAGCCCTCGGGCCTTCTGAGATGCTGTCTCTCTCCTCGGGGAAACTTGTAGAGAACCTCGCAGAAGGCCGGGGGGACTTCCGAGCCTTCCGAACAGGCCCGCCCCTTCCCACCTGCCCCCCGGGCCCGCCGCCGATTACTAGAAGGTTAACGTTTTCTTAGTCGGCGTTGCGGCGGAAGCGTGGGGGGGGCAGCTGGCTGCGCACCTCTGCTTCATGCGGCTGTTTGCAACAGTGCGTCCTATTGGGGGAGGCTCCACCTGCTTGACACCGACGCCCAAAACAGCCAAGATCTACTCCATGGGGGGGGGCACGGGCTGCGAGGGCCCGCGCCGATCGGCAATACAATGAATCAGAAAACGACCACGAGGCGCAGAAAGCGGGAGGACTTCTGGGAAGCGCCGCCGCCTTCTGAAAAGACGTACACCCTCTCACTTCCCCCCGCTACGCGCCGCCCATCAAAATCCTGCTTGAGCTTGGCCTCCCTCCATTCTTTAACAGGGCCCTGGGACACATACAAAAAACAGACATAAGTCCCAGGATTCCCTGCTTATTCATATTTCTTGGTGTTCGTGAACGATGATTCGTGTCCGTGCTTTTTTCCCCTCCTGCGTTCTTGAGAGCCCTGGCGCGCCTGGTACAGCTCCCTGGACCTCTCCAGCAATGCGGTCTGACCATGATTTGAAAGCGAATCCAGCCGTGGCAACCAGGGCCTCCCAGGATGCTCAAACAGGCAAAACAGAGTGACGGGTAGCGATATCGCTCATCGCAGCCCTGCCCGAGTTTGGCTTACCCACTTCTGGAACCCCGACACGCCCACACTTTGCCCGCCCACTACGGGGAAACCGAAATCAGACTGCGGGAGCCGAACGGTCAGTCAGTCCCTGGATGCGTCGGAGAAGCGGGGCTCCGCGGTGCGGATTGCTGTTGCGATGCTGCATTGCTTTGCTGCGTCGTTGTTGTCGTCGCCCTCGCCCGCGACCCACCCGCGACCCCCTGCGATCCACCCACGTTGAACGCTGCGTTGAAGAAACAATCGGCGCCTGCGGCGGGCTCGCTGTGTAATGTGTAAAAAA